AAGATTTAATCCAAAGATGTGAGAGTTTTGAGAGATTTGTGAGAGTTTGAGTAGCTTATGCAAGAATGAAAAAATGGATGAAAATGGAGATTTTGGACAAATGGGAGCACCAACCCTTGCATGAATCAGCTTGCATGAATATATAGATGATGTAGGAACCTCCTAGAACATTGGAGAACTTTCCCTTGCATTTTCCCTTTTCAATTTGGATTATGTTACTTTCAATTCAAGCAACCATGGATAACTCACAAATTATGACCTAAGATCAAAATTACACTTTAGCCAATGTCTTTAAAATACCTTTTCCATTCAAAATGACCTATAATTTTGCATCATTTGGCCAAGATATGAAAAATGTCATTTTTTAAGCCATTTTCCTTCATTAAATTCAACAATTTTGAAACCTTGTGATATGATTCTTTCCAATCTCTCATGGTCACTTTTCTAGACTCAAAATGTCATTTGGAGCAAGTTTTATGTTGTAAGTTTTTCCATTTGAGACCTCCTTGTATGAGTTTTGGACATAGGTTAAAATGACCTGTAATTCACAAATGACCAAAATACCCTTTGCTTGCCAAAACCATAAGTTGAGTTCCACACATCATATGAAGGCATACTATACCATTCTAGAAAGCTAAGACAATGAGGAACAATTCTTATGTTGACCAGAAATTCATTTGAAATCTCCTTGAGGGGTAAAAGTTGCTTGGAAATCAAGTCACTTTCACAGACAAAATTTCAGATACCTCAGATGACCTGTAACTTGCAAGGACCATAACTTGAGTTCTATAAATCTCCTCAATGTCTTCCACCACTCAAATTAAAGGTCTTGAGATCCTCTACAAGTTTCATGTTGGCCAAGGATCCATTTGAAGCTTTCATTTTGACTTATCTTGCTTGGAAATTTGACCTAAACTAGGGGATTTTACATAGAAACCCTAATTTAGAAACTCCTCTTCCCCTTGATTTCTCTTGATTTCTTCTTAGCATAACAACATATCCTTATTCTCCATGTCAAATGATGAACCCCACATCTCTCCAATAGCCCTTAATGCCTTCCAATCAGTCCATTGACCTAGGGCTGACCTAGGGTTAACCCAGATGAAACCCTAGTTGACTGTCTTCAACTGCAATTCTTGTGATCCCATCAACAACTTGTTTTCTTCTCCAAATGACTTTCTAAGTCCTCCCAGATGTCTAGATACTCTCCATGCCTTCTATTCACAGCTCACAACCCCCTTGTTGACCCTCAGATACCCTCAGATAAGAGATATACCCAAGGCTTGATCTGCTGAACTCTCTGCTTTCAAATTCTTTTCTAATGACTTGAATGAGATGGAATTAGGATAATAACCTCTTGATAGGCCTCTAGAGATGAGAATAATGATTGGTCCCCTGTTGAATGACCTGCTATGCTTATGCTATACAGATGGTTAGTCTATGTACATGACTCTATATGCAAATGCTAATGATATTGGAAAATAAACCAAGTGAATAATTTGATATCCAATTCTCACAGTGACACGTACATATGAATATGATTTGATTACGATTGAACTTTTGCTTCACTATTTTTGATGTTGTCAAAGGGGGAGAATGCAAAAGCAAGTGCTTCACAAAGAATGCTCAGACTTTTACACAAAGAATGCTCATAATTTTACAAAGAGAAATGCATATAGTCAAAGGGAGAATGCTCTTCACAAAGTACTCAATATGTGGAAGGTTTTACATCATCAAAAAGGGGGAGTATGTGAGGGCAAGGTTCCTTAGTGCTTTATTTTAATGATGTCAAAACTAGTAAGATTTCATACTTGTGTACTTTGAACGGTATCATCACGTCTTAGCTTACATTCATCCTTTTAATATGCATAAAATAATCCATATACATGAAACAATGCATATAGGATCATCCCCTATGTGAAAAAATGTGCATTGAATCATTTTGGATACATTAGGTTGACTCATACAGGGCTTTGGTCGACTCAAAAATTTATAAAATGTGATTGTGGCATTTTGGAACCCTTCCGTCGACTCACATATATATGGAGATCAACGCATACTGAAAGAAAAATAAGCCTATACTCTCGAGTGTCTTTGCGTTGACTCACAGATGTGTGGAGGTCGACGCATACTAAAGGATAAAATATTTTCTGCTCTCAGGTGCACTTGCGTCGAAGCATGGCTTAGTTCAAATCGACGCGTGGTTGGTTTTTCTGCGCAGATTTACTTTGTGGAGTGTTCAGGTCGACGCATAGAATGTTGAGATCGACCTCTCGCTCATTTAAGCATATTTTTATACTTCTTTGTGTTTCAAAAAGCTGTTAATTCTATTATGCGGTCTTGGTCATATATATATATATATATATATATATATATATATATATATATATATATATATATATATATATATATATATATATATATATATATATATATATATATATATATATATATATATATATATATATATATATATATATATATATATATATATATATATATATATATATATATATATATATATATATCATATGCATCATCTTTTGCACATGGACCAACAATAAAAGTGAAAATATACATTGAATTTGCTCATCATCTTCATTTTCACACTTGCATTCTTTAACAACTACACATAATCATTTTTATTGATCTTTGCAATGTCAAGGTGATAACGTCCAAACTTAGGATCTGTATATCATGGTTTGGGTTGAGACTTCAGTGGGATTTTCTTGAATAAAACCTTTGGGGTTTTTTCCTCCAAGATCTTGAGGATTTTGGGGTTTTTGCACAAATCTTTGCGTCACAGATTCAGCCGAGTGAAAGGCTTAAGGAACGGTGGGTTCGGTCAAGCAAGTAATGGTAACCGGAGGATTGTGTCGAAAGATTTAGGGTCGAACGTCTTGCGATCAGAATCATCCGAGTGAAAAACTTGAAGATTCAAGTGAGTAGCGGTAACCAGTGGTTTGATCGAAGAGTTTGATGTTCTTGATTCAGCTAGAATCAAGGGGAGAGAAGTGGATAGAACCAACATCAACAATTAGGTTTGAGTGTGTGATGACTATAATTTCTCTTGTACAAAACTTTGCAACTTGATATTATACATATCTCAATTCTAGTTTTAGAATTGGGAGCAGACGTACCCGAAGCGAGGACAAAAAGGGGAACTGCCTAAACAAATCGGATGTCGTTCTCTCTTTCTCTATCTCTTTACTTTGTGTTGGTAACGTTTGTGTGATATCAATTGTTTGATAATTTTCTACTATAGTGTAGTGCTGAAAAACTATTTTAGAAACTCATTGCAATCACTTTGATTGCAATTGTGAAAAATTCTGCACTATCATTTCATAAAAAATTGAACTTGGAATGTTGTGCACACCAAGTGTTCGACATATTGATCGCACACAAACTGTTCGTGAAATTGTCAATTTTAATTTACCTTAATAATTCATTGGAATTGGTTGATTCAAAGTGGTCGTAATTTGAATAATTGATTGTGAAAATTGTTGATTCATTTATCTCATCAATTTCATTCCATATTGGCTACGCATATCCGACCTTACCAATAACGATTCGTTTAGATGATTAATAATCCATGGCTGCTTCCGCACATTTTTGAAACAAATTTTGAGCACCGTTTTTGTTAAAAATTAGTGATTTATTCAACCCCCATTCTAGATCATTGTCATCGTCTAACATATGTATGTGTGTGGGCGTGTGCGCGCGTGCGTTCGTGCGTGTGTGAACATGTATGTGTGTGTGTGTCAGAATCAAATGACACTAAGGTGTCAAACTTAGTAACATAACTTCTCCGATAATTCTTCACCATACATCCGTATAACAAAATTCACTGTTGGATCGAAAGGTATTATCATATAGATCGTCTCTATAAAATTTAACATCAATAGAAAATTATTTGATATGGCAACAAGATGCATAAAAATTAACGGCTTACAAAATTTTAACAAAATCGTTAATTTTGATCATTCTCTTTAACATATAAAATGATTTTCGATTAACATTAAATTTTATATATATGATCTATATGATAATATCTTTCAATCTAACAGTAAATTTTGTTATACGTATATGCATTAAAGAGTTATTGGAGATGTTAGTTACTAAGTTTGACACATTGATATCATTTAATCTTGACTTTACTCATTAGTCATACTATGGAGACTATCCACAACAACTAGTTATACCTAATACACATTTGGAATATCCATATTGTATTCATAACAAATAGTTATACCTAATACACATTTGAAATATCCATATTGTATTCATAACAAATAGATCCATACTGTATTCATCTTTGTTGAGTCATCCTTAAGACCGGTCCAACTTGTTTAGAAGTTTTAAGAAAAATTTAAAATGAGACTTTCAAAATAAATAAATCAAATCAAATTTTATATTTAATAAGAGTTGAATCAAAGACCTAATATTTTATGTAAGAAATATGCTATTTAAAATATTTATAACAAAATTAAAAAGTTTTAAAACCTTTTAATAGCCAAAAAATTTTGAGACTTAAAACCCTTATGCCTTATCCTTGGACCGGTCCTGGTGATACTCAACATTATACTATTATAGCAATGTCATTAAAACAAAAACACAACTAAGTTTTTCTCGCAAACAAATTAAACTAGGTGATCATTATCACATAAGTCACAATGAGAAGTTGAGAATCGAACACAAAAAAACACTATGGCAATTACCTTAACCATTCTCCACGTAGTTTTAATTGTTTTTTAATCCATTACATGATAATCTAAGAATGAGGTTAACCATACCAATTGATCATTTCCATGTAAACAAAATGACAAAAGCAAGCTTAACAATTAAGTTAACCAATGAAGATAACTCCCACGTTCCATTTCACATTGCTATAATCGCTTCTCAAAGAAACAACAAACAAAATGAAATCTCAAATATAAATAAATAACAGCTTATGATTAAGCTAAACAACTTGTAACATAATAGTTCAACTGTGAACAAAAATGTTGGAGAGTTTTACAGAATGCACAAAGAAAGTACTAATGGCTTCACAAAAGGAAGCAAGGTTTGTAGGACATAAATACATTAGCACAGAACATATTCTACTAGGGATCCTCGGCGATGGAACGTGTTCGGCTGCAAAAATTCTTAAGTCGTATGGAATCGATTTTAATGTTAGTAGAGAACAAGTGATGAAGTTGATTGGAAGAGGTGGTGGTTGCAGTGGCTTGAGTTGCAAGGAAGTAAGGTTTACTTATGATGCTAAGAATGTTCTTGAATTCTCACACAAATATGCTACGTCTCTAGGTAATAATTTCATTCTTATAAAGTTAATTTTTAGTGTTAAGTTATTAATCATTTTAATTAACATGGTTTGTTTGTTTTTTTGGTATGGTTTAGGTCATGATTATGTTGATACAATGCTTCTACTACTAGGGCTGCTTCAAGGAAGTTCTGGTGTGGTTACTCAGTTGATTGAAAATCAAGGTGCTGATGTAAACAAAATTAGAGAACATGTAAGTTATAATTCATAATGTGTTTATTTGGATTTTTTGTTCGAATTTGAGAGAATCTTGAAGTGAAATTTCGTTGAAATGTGAATAGGTGATTAGAGAAATTGAAGTAAATGTTCAGAAAGTTGATGTGACTGCGGAAAGTTCTAAGAACAAAATGAAAGACCATGTTGAAGATCGCGTTCACTATGATGTTGTTACTGCAGAAAGTTCTATTTATAATCAGATTAAATCTCAAGTTGTGAATCAAAACTATAACCTAGGTGCAAGAAAAGATGAGAATGCGAATAAACAAAAGTCCGCTCTTGAGACTTTCGGAACCAATCTTACAAAATTGGCACAAGAGGTAATGTAATGGCATTGAAATATCTTATAGAAATCAAGACGGTTTGAATTGGTTTATTTGAATTTATCTACTATTTTAAGTATTTGTCAGACTGTTTGAAGTTAATTTCATACATTATTTTTAATTTATTTTTGTAAGTTTTTTTTTTCAGGGTAAACTCCATCCATTTGTGGGAAGGGAAGAACAAGTGGAACGCGTGATTCAGATAATTTGTAGACGGATGAAAAACAATCCTTGCCTTGTAGGAGAACCCGGAGTAGGAAAAACATCAATCATTCAAGGCCTTGCTCAGAGAATTTTGAGTGGATTTGTTCCCGAAAATCTCAAGGGAAAAAAGGTAACTCGACCATGTTAGGATAAACAACTTATTTAAGCGCTTATACTAAAAGTACAAATCAATTTCCATTTATTTTTGCTTCTCAGGTGATTACATTGGATGTTGCCGATTTTTTATATGTAATATCAAACCAAGGATTTTCTGAAGATAGAGTCAAGTGTTTGATTAAGGAAATCGAACAAAGTGGCGATGTAATACTTTTCGTCAAAGAAGTTCATCACTTATTTGAAGCAGTAACATCGGGCGCCAAAACCTTCGCATACATTTTGAAACACGCCCTCGAAAGAGGTGTAATTCAAGTAAGAATTTTCATTTTTCATCTTTCAATTTTTTTCATGATTAAATCTATATAGTAAATAATGCAAATTTTTGTACATAGTGCATATTTGCTACAACCTTGAATGAACATAGAATGCATATGGAGAATGATGTAACCTTAAAGAGAATATTTCAACTGGTTAAAGTCGATGAACCATCTGTTGAAGAAACCGTAGAAATTCTTAAAGGACTCCGCAGAACGTATGAGACGCATTATAAACTTGAATACACCGATGAAGCTCTTGTTGCGGCCGCGAGTTTGTCTCAACAATATGTAAGGTAAAAATTTGTTACTTCCAATTCTATAACATATATTATTACAAAATTGAATCTCTAGTTTGTTATCACATGGCTTTTGCGCGCGTAAATTTCAGCGATCGTTTCTTGCCTGACAAGGCAATTGACTTGATCGACGAAGCTGGATCTCATGTTCAACTTTGTCATGCAAAGGTAAAATGGTTATAATTTTCGAATTTTTAGATCAATCAAATGAATCTTCTTGTATAGAACATTATCGATAATCGATAGTTGATGTATCCGTTTGAAACAGAACAAAAAGAGTGGAAATGCATTTGTTCCTAGTGTGAAAAAGAGTGATATTCAACATGTTGTTTCGTCGTGGATTGGAGTACCTGTCAGCGATGTATCGAAGGAAGAAGGTGAAGATCTCCTCAACTTAGAAGGCATGCTTCACAAACACGTCATTGGCCAAAACGAAGCGATCAACACAATCGGTCGAGCGGTTCGTCGGGCTAGAGTTGGTCTAAGAAACTGCAGAAGGCCTATTGCCAGCTTCATGTTCACCGGTCCTTCTGGCGTAGGAAAAACCGAGTTAGCCAAGGCGCTCGCTTCAAACTATTTCGGCTCAAAAGATTCTTTGATCAGATTAGACATGAGTGAGTACATGGATAAACACAATGCAGCTAGGTTAATCGGAGCGCCGCCCGGATACATAGGTTTCGACGAAGGCGGTCAGTTAACCGAAGCTATTAGGAGAAACTCTCATGCAGTTGTTTTATTTGATGAGATTGAAAAAGCACATTCAGATGTTTTTAACTTAATGCTTCAAGTTCTTGACGATGGAAGACTCACCGACGGAAAAGGTCAAACCGTCGATTTTAAGAGTACATTGATCATCATGACAAGCAATCTTGGTAACAACATCATTGAAGGGGTTGATGATAAGGATTTTTCGTTCGACCGGAAAAAAATCTTAGTTATGGAGGAATTGAAGAAACATTTTAGACCCGAGTTCTTGAATCGGCTCGACGAGATAATTGTTTTTAAAGAGCTAACAAAGGTGGAAGTTGAACAGATTGCAAACATAATGTTGAGGGAAGTGTGTGAATATTTGTTGGTTAAGAACATCAATCTTTCTTTGACTTGTAGGTTTAGAGATTATGTGATTCAACATGGATATAATCCTAGCTATGGTGCAAGACCCTTAAGAAGGACTATTGCAAGATTTTTGGAAGATACATTGGCTGAAAAGATGTTGAGGAAAGAAATCAAAGAAGGTGATTCAATTGTTGTTGATATGAATGTTGATGAGGGGAATGTTGTTGTGTTGAATAAGAAAAACTTCAAAAGGGATGATCTTATAAGTTTTGTTGATTCAGATTGTGGTAATTTGGTAGATGGAAAAAGAAAAGATGTGCTTGGAATTTCATGTAATTTGATGGGGAAAATGTTGGACATGCTTGCACATAGGAAGAGTCCATAACTATATTGCTCGTTTCTATAAAAATGTAATTTAGTAATCATTTTTGTTTAATTGACGAATATAGTGACTGATTTTTGAATTTTTTCGTTACTAATTAGACAAAATGACTAATATAATATATTTTAAAAAGTTAAGACATTGATACGGACAATTTTTATGTTGAAGAAACGAAATAAACTCTGATGTTAACGTATAAGAAAATATATATATTAATTTTTATTTTTGTATAATAAAAAAGTGTTTTTTTTTGTTTTGTGATAGTTAATACCATATAACAAATTTAACAACCATGATCAAATGAATGTCTATAGAATAGTTAGATAAAAAATGCCAACAAAAATGATTGAGTGGCACCCTAATAATGGAACATGTCTTTTGTTTCAACCACATGTGAGGTGAAAACTTGTGGTCACAAAGAAATAGTTGATTTGATAATTACCACACATTTGAAATAGCAAAACAAAGTTTGTTACACCTCCAAGATTTTAGCTTAACTAAACGCTTAGTACATTTTCCCATTTTTTCTTTGTGGGAAGGAGACAACATCTAAACCTTTCTACCACAAAAATCATCATTTAGTAATTCATTTATTGAAGAACAAACTTCTTCCCATTTTCTGCATGCCTTCTCACAAACCTAGGTAATGGTTTATATACATGTAACTATTCTAAGAATCAATTTAAGGATGTTTTTTATAAGTATTTCTTATGTTTCACTTATAGATACATACATATATGTGATTTCTTGTTTGATATGCAAATGATATGTTAGATATAGTATAATAACAACTTATTCATTTTTCATATAAATCTGAATTCGTCCCTTATCTATAATAATCTTTGACCAGATATTACTTATCTTTTGTCTGAATTCCGTTTAATCAAGGTTCTTTTTCATCGGGGTTTCTTTTCATGTAATGTCTTGTTTGTTTTCTTTGTTAGTAGTGGAAGTATTTTTGAGTGGAAAAAGATGGATTCAAATGTGGAGGAAAAACCACCAAAGATCAATATACACATCCCAAATTTAGATATGACAAATTCTTGCAAGAAACAATCTCAACCGCCTTTGTCACCAACATTGCAACAACCGGAAGTAAGAAAATCTTCAAGTGGAAGGTGGAATTGTCTATGTTCACCCACCACACATGTTGGCTCATTCAGGTGCCGACACCATAGATCTGGGTCTGGTGGAATGTTTCGCGGTAGATCTGTTGGATCCAACCTCGTTGAATTGGGGAATAAAGCTGGTCCCATCAGCGACTCGCTCCATGCTCAGTAGCTTGTGTTGCAAGTAATGTTGTTGCACATATACATATATTCATATTTATATATTAAAAATTTTCAAGCATGTGAAAATTTTATTTTTCTCTTGAACAAACTCATTAAGGTGCACTTCAATTTGCTTGTGTGAGGTGATAATTAAAAACAAAAACACATAATTGAATTCTTGAGAATTGAGAGGCTTTCTATATGTGAATCTATCTTTGTGTATCTAGATTTTATTTATGTTATTTATGTTATAGCAACAAGTGTAAAAATTGAAAAGACACATTTATTCTAGAGGATAGAAATTTGTGCAATTGAAGAGGTTGCATTCTTTCAATTTCATCCTATGAAGCTATGTAAAATTTTATTTTTAAGAGATAATATAAAATAGTTGAAAATTGTGATTCTTTTACAGAGATATTCTTCTCTTATGACATTGGTAGCTAGCAACATTCAATCAAATTCAAGCTGTATTTTTTTTGTTAGTTCAAGAAACTTGCTTTCACTACAAGATACTAAGAGACGTGATTTTTCACTAATTGTTGACCCTTGATCATACACAAGTTGTAATTAGCATGTGATAACAACAAATAAAGCCTTTTAAAAGATAATGAAGCAAAAAATTGGAAAAGTTAACTAGTTCATAAATGTAATGTGTAACACAAAAAATTGAATTATTTTGGTTTTGTTTTGTTGACAAAATAAATTATCAATTATTATTTTATGTTGAGGGCCAAAGAATCTAAAGTTAGACCTAAATCATATTCTACCAATTTTTTAATGTTTCTTACGTACCACGTAAAAATAATAAAATATTTTTAAATTTTGGAGATATATTTTGGAGTTTAAATCGTGGCAGCTTCCCTTCTCCTTCCTCATTTCTGATATTTCTCAAAACCTCTTCAAACTCTCTCAAATTGTTTTTCATCATCAAGTCCAAAATCAAGCAATCAAGGTCAAAAGAACTTCAATCAACATCATAAACATCACCCAACATTGTAGCAAAGTGAAAAATTATAAGTTTTTTTAATGTTTTAAATAGTTTGAGTTTTTGTGTAAATGAGTAAAAGTTGATGATTAAGGTAAGAAATGAGTTGAAATTGGATGATTGATAGTTTAGACATAGTGTAAAACATGATAGTTGGATGAAAATGATTATCAATTCAATACTTTTTGTGTTTTCATGTCTGCATTGCCGCCATTGACGCACCTGATAAGTTGCAGAAAATTCTGGAGATGCATCTATGGAATTTTAATTTTTTTATTTTCTTATTTGTAATGTTGTTTGCTTGCACTAATTTTTTTCTTTACTTTAACTTACAAGCATAATGGCTTATAGACACGATAGATTGAGGCACGAAATGGTTACACAGCACGTATTAGTATGGCGGGAGAAGAGTCAACATGTTTTAGAGGCTCCTAATCCTTCTGGCCATGTCAAGTTATCTACTTCTAGGGCTCGTGCTTCTCCCTATGCTTATCCATCTTCTTTTTCCCATAGGAGATGGGTTTCACCTACCAAAACATCATTACCTCCTTCCTCTTGTAGGTGTCAGGTTTCACCTATTCAGACGCCTGAGGTAGCCGAGTCACCAATGGTATCGAACGCACCACTGTCACCTCCTACTTGTGATACTTTAGATGCTTCTGAGATAATGCCACCTCTTACTACTGATGATGTTGAGCCAGTGCCACCTTCAGAGGGTGAGGCTGATGTGGATGTTGATCTAGAGGTATTTGGAGGGTGTATCTGAATCGTTTGGTTGTCGAGGACATGCACTTCAATAACCATATTGATCATAGTGAGATGCGGCCATTTGACGAGATAGTGTTATACTCTGGATTGTTGGATTGCGGGTCACGTCTGACTGTTATTCATCTTCTTGAGCGCGTCATGCAGCAGTCCGACTACACTCAGACTATTCTCAGACGCCCTATTTTATCTGCTCCTCCTGCTTTGACACGTAGACAGATGGATGACACATTTGATGATTATGAGAGTTATCTGGTACCGGAGGAGGAATTGAGTACCATAGTTGTGAGTGATTGGAGCTACGTCGACGGGTATATCAGATGGTTATTTAGGGTGTCACATCCATACATGGTGTATGCTGCTCTAGGAGATCTGTCGAGGCTAACTCATTAGGAGATACTAGAGAAGGAGAAGACATAGTTAGATCATGTTGAGGATGTCTTGCCTAGATGTCATCTCATGATGGATATTGCGCAGGCATGCATTGACAGAGGAATCTTCCCTGATGTGTCGGATGTGAGGCATGTCCTAGATACCATCATGACGGGGGAACGGGGGGCATTGATGTAACGGAGATAGCGTCGGAGGATGAGGGGGATTGATGGCCAAGGAGATAGAGGATATGTAGTCTAACTTACACAGTAGTGCATTAGTATATAGTAGTAGTGCTATGGATTATATTTTATTTTGACATCATGCTACTTTATCGTTGTTTTTGACTTTTTTTTAAATTTATTGATCTTTTATTTATAAATGACATTTTTGGATCATCTCAATTTATGTATTTCATTTTTGGATTTATGGTTTAGTTCTCATCACATAACATGGTACATAACACTTATAAATCTTCATTTGAATACATGTAAACAAAACATAACATGAAACATTATGTTCTGATACGTTACGGAGATGTATCTCTGTAAAATTAATGGAGACGCATCTCCGGTATAATAAAGTTGTACAATGGCTTTTGAGTGTGATGCATGGTGTGTGTTTTAAATCGTTACGAATATGTATCTCCAGAATATTTTAACATTCAATCAAAATATGGTGCGTCCGGAGATGCATATCCGAAATCTAGGAGCATTTTAATATTTTCGCGTGGTGTGTAAGTAACCTATAGAGTGCATTAAGAACTTCCCTAATTTTAAATTGATTTTTTTCTATTAGTGACCACCATGTATCTGATTGAATGTTTAGAAGAAATTAAAGTTCTTTGAAAATATGAATTAACTCTTTTAACTTCAATTCTCTTTCAGCAGCTTTGTAAATATTAAGAACCTCAAATTCCTAAAAAAAATTATTTCCTTGCACTTATAAAAAATCCATCAAGCTCAATTCTTAGATAATTAAAATCTTCATCAACGTGAAAAGACTTTGGAGAAATAACCTAGAATCCTTTTCTAGGTGAAAAGAATATCTTTTTATTCCTTCTAATCTTCACTTGTTGAATCCTCTCAACACTCAAGAAGTATGAACATTCACACTACAATAACCACCTAGCTATATTCCTCACATAAACCATAAACCATTTAAGTTTTTTAAGAATCTTTGCAATTTATTAAAGAATTAATGAATAAGATGTTATAATTAAAACGAAATCCTAAGTGGAATTACACCAAATCTATGGAGAATTCTAAATCAATTTTGATGAACAACAATCAATCTTTCTGATTTATTACTCTTATTATTCTTCATTATTCACTTGATTGAAAAAATCAACCTTGATTACAAGATGATTTGACTGCACAAAGATTATTTAAGGAGAAAAGAAAAGATGAATTGGTGAAAAAAAGAAATTAGAATTTTTGAGACAAGAGGAAGAAGAAGAAATATACCTATAGAGTTTCTCTCTGATTTCAAAACTGAACTTTATTCAAATTGTCTCTATGCAATTGCATTACATCAATGATAGGTTATCTCCCTATTTATAGGCTGAGATTGCTTGCTCATCAAGCAATCTCTAACTAATCTAACTAACTCAACTAAAACAAACAAATAAAGCTAAGTCAAAACTATGTCGAGATACACTTCGACATTTCGACAACTCCTTGTTTCTGTCGAGCTACATATTTTGAAATAATGAATTACATTCTTAACACACCACCTAATTCATTGTGTTTAAACTATCTACATTCATCATAGACCTTAATTTCTTGAACACTTCGACCTGCACACCTTTCGTGATGATGTCTGCAATCTGATTCTCGGTTCTGCAGTGCTACAAGTTTAGCTTCCCATTTTTGACCTGCTCTCGAAGATAATGGAACCTCATTTATATGTATTATCTTCTTCCATGTGCTATCGGATTCTTCGCCAAATTGAATGCAAACATGTTGTCGATCTTCATGGTAATTGCTTCATGACTTTTCGATGTAATTTCTTCAACCAAATTCACCATCCATGTTGCTTGACATGCTTAGAGAGAAGCAATTATGCCCTCTACTTGACACGAAGACAATGTCACTAATGTTTATTTTCTTGAGTTTCAAGCAATTGGTCAACACCTAGCTTAAACACATAGCCAGCTGTGGATTTTCTATCCTCATTATCACTACACCAACTTGAGTTGGTGTAACTCACTAGTTTGCATTATTTTTCTTCATCAGCTACAAAAAATAAAATTCCATAGTTGAAAGTTCCTTTTAGATACCTTAGTATTGTTAGAACACAGATTGGTTCTTAATAATATCTCTATGTTTTGATGATAACTATTATGAAATTTTGTATTTAAGAATTATATACTCTAAAATTTGCTTGAGAGTTTTTACTGCAGATAGTAAAAGAATTAACACTCCAGAAGCAAATCAGAATTGAACACAAGAAATTAGCTAGAATCTGAAGCGCCAGATGCACTCATTAGAAGATTCTGATTGCTGTCAACAGAAGATTCTGAGCGTAGCCTCCAGAAGATTCTGAAGCAGAAGCTCCAGAAGAATCTGAAACAGAAGCTCCAGAAGAATCTGAAGCAAGTCAGAAGCATCTGAAGCAAAGAAGAATTTTGTATGAAGAGCTTTTCAAAGCATAGTTTCTACAGAAGATTCTGAAAGTACTAAAGCTGTCAGTACTGAAGTTCTATCTCAAATATGCTATGATACTTAACACGCTGAAAGCACACCTGCTGCAGAAGACTCTGATTCAGCAAGACTCTGATCATCATCAGAAGACTCTGACCCAATTAGACTCTGATGAACTTGCTGAAAACTGAAGAAGAAATATTCAAAGATTATATCCGTTGGAGTAAATCAAACGTCTCTTTC